CTGTCAAAAAATTAAAAAATAAATAAATAAATAAAGGACATCAAGAAAATAAAAAAAAACCTCTTAAAATGAAAAGAGATACTTTCAAATTATATAAAGATCTAGTATGTAGAATAAAGAATCCTTACAATTCAATAAAAAGTTAAATATTCAAATAACAATATGGGCAAAAAAAACTTAATAGACAGCTCTCCAAAGCAGATAAGATAAAATGACCAGTAAGCACATGAACAAGCCATTGACATCATTAATCTTCAGGGAGATGTAAATCAAAACCACAATGAACTATCCTTCCACATTTGCTAAAATGTACACGTTCAAAATTTCACATTAACAGTAAGTGTTGGTGAGGATATGGGGAACAGTAAGTGTTGGTGAGGATGTAAAATAGCACAGCCACTCTGAAAAACTGACTGGCAAATCCTTAAACAATTAAACAGATAGTGAATATGTAATCCAGTCATTCCATTCTTAAATATATACCCAAGTGATATAAAAATATTTTAACACAGAAACTTGTACATAAATACTTTTATCAGCACTATTCATAATAGCAAGCAAAGGAAGATAACCCAAATGTCCATCAATAGATGAATTTATAAATAAAATACATTATATACGTGCAATAAAATATTATTTGGTCATACTAAGAAATGAAGTACTGAGTTAATGAAAGAGATGCAAGGTGAAAAAGAAGCGTTGTTTTGAATACAGACACTAGGAAGGTGAAGAATGAAAAAAGTCCCACGAAGAAAATGTTTTGGCAAAACAATGAGAAGACAAGGGGCAGACAGAGTAAGATTGAGAGCATAGAAAAGAGCTAGTTTTGGAACAGTAAATGAAAATTTCCAGGCCAAAAACCTTTAAATTGGGGTTGAATATCCCCCAGTTGTCACCCTGGATGTTCAGGATATCTTTCAGTAGATCATGTCCATCTGGCTGCATACCAAAGCACACACTTCTGTGCCTTAGATCCTTGTGTTGAATAGGGAGGGGGACCAGAGCTGAGAAAGGAAAAGGTGCACAAGGGATGAGAACTCCCATTCCCAAAGGAAAAGGGGGAATAAACAGTGGATGAGGCAAGAGTTGAGATTCAATTCTGTATATTAAGGAAGACTGAGCTATGCATGAAACCTGGGAATGAGAAACAATCTGAGAAGCTGACATTAGGGAGGTAAGTCTGGGTCTGATATTTTCAGGATGGTGAGAAGACACTAATGTGGAAGAGAGGGCAGGAAATGAGTCACAGATAAGTACACAGCACTGTAGTAAAGTTCAAGGAGGGGCAAGCAAGTTCAAGTGAAGTGAATTTTGCTTTCCTGGGGAGTAAGATGGGAGAGGGCAGTTTAGAGAATTCCTTTCCAGGTGATGATGGAGAGACTTGTGAAGAACTGACCCTTGGCTTCCAAGGAGGAAGCAGGAATCGTAAATGACACATAGATTTTATTCTCAGACATTGAGGTAGAATGGCACTGCAAATTAAACACTGCATATGAGGAACGATGTATAAAAAGTGCATAGGTTATGTTCCTCAACAGAATAGTCAGGAAGAGGATTAAATAACAGGTATTAGGAATTCACCAGAATGATAGAAGGGATATTGTCTCCTGCAGAAAGAAAAGAATTAAAGGATAGAGTAGGATATCTAGAATAGAGAGAAAAGAAGATAAAGAAAATTATTCTTATTGCCATCATTTATCTACTATTGCATAGATAAGTCCATTGTTGTAACTGGGCTGGGAGGAGAGGAGAGGTTTGGAGACAGCATTTATTCATTAGGAAAGCAATAAGGAGTGAATTGAAGGATGACAGAGATGTTCCGGTGGAAATTGCCTAGATTTGTAAATGACCAGATATATGAATTTGTCAAACAAAAACTACTGCCTAAGAATAGAAACCAGGAATGATCCAGAATGAGTAACTGCTGATGATTAAAAGAAAGAGATGTGGTGAGATGTGATCAGCATCACTCAGGTTTATGACCGAGGAACTCAAGCTGGCAGAGGTGAAGCCTGAAGACAGGAGAAAGTGAATAAAATCTGTTTCTGTTCTTGTACTTAACTTTGTATGCAACGTTGAATATCCTACCTCTGCCCTGCCTGTACTCTGAAAATGTAAATTTCCTTGGCAGACAAGAGTTGTTTCAGATATACACTGCAGGGGAGAAATGTTTTCAAAGAGAGGAAAAGAGGAAATTCATGGAATGGTGTTGGGTATATAATATAAGGAACGCGTGAATCAGAAAAAGAAGCTGCCAGGCAGACATCTTGCAGAGGATTTACTGGATTTGCTGACTGGTTTGGGCATGTGGAATTGTCAAAATGTTCCTGCACTGAACTGAAAGTGGGAAACACCAAGATGGATGTGAGGAAGACACTGTGAGGGCAGGATGCCTTGGAGCTCGCTATTTAGAGAGAGAGCTGACACCATGCTGGAGAAGGAAGGTTAGTGCATGTGCTGATGTCACCGCCTAAGGTGGGAACGTTCAGTGGAGGATGACCATGAGTGATGCTGTGGGAAGAATGAGCACAACAAACGGTGCAAACAAGACACAAGAAAAGATCTATGATGATACACCTGCAATTTTTCTGGTGTGGATATGTTCGGTGTCAATGTAAGCTTACACGGCTGGCTATGTGGTTTACTTATTCTCTAATCTTTTGAACAATTCACTAAGTAAACAAACCCTACCCAGACACAATTCTGGCTCCTGGGAAATTGATAATATATTGGGGATGAAGGTATTCAGTCTAAGAGGAACAGAAGGAGAACAGAGAAACAGAGGGTGAACAGGAGTACATAGGTGGCATCCACCTCAGCCCCCTTAAAGGATGAGAAAAATCTTACTAGATCTCTAAACAGTTTACATTAAATGGGACAAAGGAGGTAGAGGAAGCAGAACATATAAAAGACAAAAGAGAAAGAAGAGCAGGTTCAGTGATCTACATGTTTGAGTAGAGAAACCAAGGAGGGTAGGGGGGAAAATGATTATTACCCATAATTGAGAAAGAATCATGTTCAAAATTACCTTTTAGAAATGGAAAATTTCTTCCTGGAGGATGACTTAGAGAATAGGAGGAGTACAGTTAGGAGAATAGTTAAGAGGTCTTTGAATAAGTGAATCTGGAGCCTGGAAAGCAATATAGATGGCAGATACAGTTATGGGAAGTATTAGAACATGTGGGCTAAATGAAGCCAACACAGCAGACAAGACTGGCCACAGAAAGTGAAGAGTGAAGAGAACATCGACAGACCCATTGGCAATGACAGGAGTAATCCATCCTGTAGGGACGCAGCTGATGTTAGTGAGGACTGGGAGCACGGCCAGGGGAAGAGAAGAACTAGTGGAAGGTGGAAAAATCATAGCAAAACAGAGTGCATCATGGGAAGGAGTGATTTTTAAAGGGAAGAGAGACAATGTGATAACTAGTGAGAGATGTTACAAGAATATTGTTTTATTATTATCTGTTATATATGTTAGCATATCTGGTTTTTTTTATTATTGCTATTTTTTGTCTTCTAAGTTAAAAAGAAACAAATGCTTTCAAATAATAAAGATCCAAAAATTTGGAAGAAACTGAAGCTGTCGAAAAAAGAAGTTAGTGGATGAGACAAAGTCTCTAAAGTAAGAGGAAAGAAGGGAATTCAGAGAGCAGATGGGGAAATCATCCTTGAAGACATACATACAGACACACATATAAACACATATATACACAGGTGAATTCATGCATGCAAGTATATATCTGTATTTGTATGTGTACATGTATGTTTATTTTTTAATTTTTTTATTTTTTGACAGGCAGAGTTGGAAAGCAAGAGAGAGAGAGAGAGAGAGAGAGAGAGAGAGAAAGGCCCTCCCCACTCCATTGGTTCACCCCTCAATGGCCGCTGAGGCCGGCACACTGCGCTGATCCAAAGCCAGGAGCCAGGTGCTTCTCCTGGTCTCCCGTGCAGGTGCAGGGCCCAAGCACTTGGGCCATCCTCCACTGCACTCCCGGGCCAGAGCAGAGAGCTGGACTGAAAGAGAAGCAACCGGGACAGAATCCGGCACCCAAACCGGGACTAGAACCCGGGGTGCCGGTGCTGCAGGCAGAGGATTAGCCTATTGAGCCGTGGCGCCGGCCCATGTATGTTTATTTTTAAAACAAGGAATCTTTCTTTAAGATAAGTAAAGTAAAATATATTACAACTATGATGAAGGAAACATTACAAAGCAGAATGGACATTGGTGCCCTTTTCTCTCAGAATAGAAGAAGTGAGGGGAGAAACAGTACCAAGATAACATAAATTTATGGGAGGGAAGTAATCATGTTAGGATGGAGTTCATGGTCATCTTAAATTATCAGCCATGTAGGAGCCAAGTTCAGCTGAGAGGGAGAAAGAGGATTTGAATGGTGATAAAAGTTGTATCTTTACTGTGAAAATAATTTATTAGTGCTGAAGAGAGGTCAAGTGTCTTAATATGCAGTAAAGGCTGCCTGTAGGAGTGCATTGTTTTTTTTTTCATATCCTGACTAGTAAGCTAAAGATAACACTACTTAGATTTAGTTTCAGAGTGAATGTGACAGAAACCAGTGGAAAGTTACTGGTCCTGGCAAAAGGAATGATGGACATCTAGGTTAGATACAGAAAAAGATCAAACAAGTGCTTAAATCAGTGGTTCACAACCTTTAGCATGAATTAGAATCACCTCTTGCTAAAATACACATTGCTATTCCCAAGCCCAATATGCTTGCAGTAGGGCCCAATAATTTACAACGCCACACTTCAGAAACATAGCTCCCTAGCTATGGATGATAACACCACATTTCTCATGATAGACATGATTCTGGAAGTATTGCCCAATGTAATAAGACTTCAAAGAAAAAACTTAATTTAATATACCAATAGGAAAACAAGTATGTTCATTTTAAAAATTGGAAAATTTTTGCTCAGAGAAAGCAGTGACTTGTCTACAAGCCTCAATGTGCACTCTGCTAGGCTGAAGTTCTTTTTCTCCTATGGCACAGGTGAGAACATTGCAGAAAGCCATGGCCCTATCTACTAACAACATAGCTTCTCTAAATGACTCGGATACTCGCCTGGCAGGCTGCTTGCTCACAGGCATCCCTGGGCTGGAGTACCTACACATGTGGCTCTCCATCCCCTTTTTCACCATGTACATAGCTGCACTGGCAGGCAACGGCATCCTGATCTGCATCATTGTCTCCCAACCAAGCCTTCATGAGCCCATGTACATCTTCCTGTCCATGCTGGCCAGTGCTGACATCCTGCTCTCCACCTCCACCATGCCCAAGACACTGGCCAATTTCTGGTTTGGTTCCAGCCATATTTCCTTTGATGGCTGCCTCACACAGATGTTCTTCATCCACTTCCTCTTCGTGGCTGATTCTGCAGTCCTGCTGGCCATGGCCTTTGACCGCTATGTGGCCATCTGCTCCCCTCTGCGGTACTCCACAATCCTCACAAGCAAGGCCATTGGGAAGATCGCAACCGCCACCCTGACCCGCAGCTTCATCATCATGTTTCCATCCATCTTTCTCCTCAAGCGCCTGCACTATTGCAGGAACAACATCATTGCACACACATTTTGTGAACACATGGGCATTGCCCGTCTGTCCTGTTCTGATATCTCCATAAATGTCTGGTATGGGTTGGCAGCTGCTCTCCTCTCCACAGGCCTGGACATCATCCTTATTGCTGTTTCCTATGTCCACATCCTCCAAGCTGTCTTCCGCCTCTCTTCCAGAGAAGCCCGGTCCAAAGCCTTCAGCACCTGTGGATCCCACGTCTGTGTCATTCTACTATTCTATGTCCCTGCCCTCTTTTCCGTCTTTGCCTACAGGTTTGGTGGGAGATTCATACCAGGCTATGTCCATATCCTCCTGGCCAATCTCTATGTGGTCATCCCACCTATGCTTAACCCCATTATTTATGGAGTAAAAACCAAACAAATTTGGGAAGGGGCTAAGCAGATGTGTTTAAATCTTGCCAAGGAATCTACATAAATCTCCCAACTTGGCCTCTACTAAATCCATTTCTATACCTATTAACTGTCCTACATTTAACCCATTATGATAGTTCCATTTATGTCTCAATTTATCTAAGATTGTCAGGGCAAGCATTGTTGTATAGCAGGTTGGGTCACCACCTTCGACAGCAGCATTCCATATGAGGTCGAGTCCCAGATGCTCCACTTCCAATCTAGCTCCCTACAAATGGGCCTGGGAAAGCAGCAGAAGATTCCCCAAGTTCTTGGGCCCCTAGACCTATGCAGGAAACACAGATGAAGCTCTAGGCTCCTGGCTTCAGCTTGGCCCAGCCCTGGCCATTGCAGTCATTTAGGGAGTGAACCAGCAGATGGAAGATCACTTGTTCTCTGTCTCTCTCTTTCTCTCTATAACTCTGCCTTTCAAATAAATAAATAAAACTTAAAAAAAAGTCAACTACATAAATCCACCTCATTTCTTTTCTTAGAAAGAAACTATAGTAATATCTGTAGTAATATCTCTTCATTTTCTACCTATTAGTCAAATACAATCTCATCCCTCATTAGTTCAAGAAGAACTAATTTGATGAAATAACATAAATTATCCTAAATTTGCCATTGAAACCAGACTTTTTTTCACCCTCCACTTGCATTTGCTCCCTAATGTGTTCTTAATTACCTGCATTTAAATTTCACACTAATATCTTTCTCATGATGGGAACCCCTGAGATCTTTCATGTCTAAAAATTTATAATCCCATAGGATGATACTTAATTTTCCTACCAGCTACACAAATTCATAATCATACATGTGTCTATACTCAAGGTCATAGATACTAACACAGAACAGCAATTGTAGGTTGATACAGCAATCTTTCAGTTTAAATATGAGCATTTAATTTCAAAAACTTTTTATCAGTAACCTGAACTACCATTACCTGTTTTGGACAGAATTTTTCTCAAAATACAAATAATTGCATAAGGATAGAAAACTCTTCTTCCAAATATGCTTTGTATTTAAAGTTTATATCCATCATTAAAATTAGAAGTCAAAATACTATTCATATCTAATAGCTATGGATCTATGTGAACTTTAAAGAAACAAATATAAATACCTATATGTTATTTCATAATGCATTCACTTACCATTAATTATTAACATCAAGAATTAGCCTAGGTTAATGTTCCTTGAGATTAAGAAGAACAACACAACCTGAATTCAATTTTTTTTCCCCTTTGGAGGAACACAAAGAGAAAGAGAGGCAAGCAGACAAAGAGAAGTGCTTCCACTCCCCAAACGCCCAAAACAGCTGGAGCTGGACCTGACACAAAGTCAAGATCTGGGAACTTAATATAGTCACTTATGGGTGACAGGAGTGTAACCACTTGAGCCATCACTGTTACCTCTCAGGGTCTGTATTAGCAGGAAGCTGCAGTTAGGAGTGGGAACCAGACATCGAGTCCAATGAGGAATGCAGGCATCTTACTGGGTTCTTACCCACAAAGCCAATGTCTGCCTCTCAGCCTGAGTTTTAGCCCAAGATCTACACATTCCTGAAAATATCCACATCTCAACCCTGCCCACTCCCATACTTAGCTTACAGCAGCGGGTCCATCTTCTCAGAGTCTCTACCACTTTTCGCTGTTTTGTTGGATCATGAACATATTCCTTCTTGTTTTATTAGAAATCATCTTATGTTTATGCTTGAACTCCCTGTCTAGATTCTGCATTCCTTGAAGAAAATGACTAATTTGCAAGTCTTTATTTCTGTCATTCCAGCGTATGAGAATCTGCTAGCTGTATACAACGCTCACTAAAATTTAACATCACTTTTCTACGCTTCATTCATTCTTTGAGGGAGTTCTTCTCAGGCCTGAGATTCAATCTCATGTAGGAAAAAGAACTATGCAGATGCCAAGAGATGTGGATTTAAAGCCCATAGGAACTTCTCACTTGTTCAATAAGCTTAGGAGCTTGCATAACATCAACATACTTAATTGTGTCCCTGTCTACAAGGAAGAGAATGATACACAATACATCTATTGCATAGGAGCATTCAGAGAATGTTCATTTCATTTCATTTCTCCTTTCCTTATAAATTCTAAATTGTCCAGTAAAGGATTTCAAAAGTTGGAGAAAGGTTTCATTTGGAATCAAAAATAGGGATATCTAGAACAGCATGGAGTATCTGAATAATGATCTTGAATTTTGGGTTCGTAGTCTCTGACATAACAGGGATACTGTGTAATCACAGTTCTTGATGGTCTCAAAGAGTGAGTGAGTAGTGGTGAACACTGTCAGAAGGGAAGTGTGAAAAGTCAGTCCAAAAGAATTCACCGCTGTCTGCTCCAGCTCATGGACAAAAAAGGAGAAGAGACAGAACTGGTGTTCTCTCTCTCTCTCTCTCTCTCCCTTTTTTTTTTTTTTTTGATAGGCAGAGTGGACAGTGAGAGAGAGAGACAGAGAGAAAGGTTTTCCTTTTGCCGTTGGTTCACCCTCCAATGGCCACCGCAGCTGGCGTGCTGTGGCCTGCGCATCACGCTGATCCGAAGCCAGAAGCCAGGTGCTTATCCTGGTCTCCCAAGCGGGTGCAGGGCCTAAGCACTTGGGCCATCCTCCACCGTACTCCCTGGCCACAGCAGAGAGCTGGCCTGGAAGAGGGGCATCCGGGACAGAATCCGGTGCCCCAACCGGGACTAGAACCCGGTGTGCCGGCGTTGCAAGGCGGAGGATTAGCCTAGTGAGCCGCGGCGCCGGCAGAACTGGTGTTCTCTGGAGCAGGGGAACACTCTCTTGATCCCTAGGGCATCACCCCACCATTCTTTCCCCCATGTATATGACATGGGACCCACCTCGTGCCTGCACTGTGTCATAACAACTAAAGCCATGCCAGCATCCCATATTAGGAGTGCCTGTTTGAGTCTCAGCTGCTGTACTTTTGATCCAGCTTCTTGCTAACACACCTGGGAAGACAGCAGAAGATACCTGGACCCCTGCCACCCACGTGGGAGACACAGATGGAGTTCCTGGCTCCATGCTTCAGCTTGGCTTAGTCATGGCTGTTGTAGCCATTTGAGGGAGTGAACAAGCAGATAAAAGATAGCTCTCCATCTGTTTCTCTCTCTCTCTCTCTCTCTCTCTCTCTCTCTCTCTTCTTTCCTCTCTCCTCTCTCCTTCTCTCTGCATTTCAAATAAACAAATATAAATCCTTTTTTTTAAATGAGCCTCACCTGTTCTCCACAGCCCAAGCCAGCTATTTCTTGGCTCTCTCTACCTTAAGTACATATTAGTAGTACTCTAGGATTTTTTAAGTGATCTCAAAATTATTTAGATCCTTAAAACAGTGATTTATTAACTCCATATTGTGGAGTAAGGAAAACGTGTCTAGTTAGCACACTGTTGTTCTCTAACTCAACTCTTTAGTTTTTTTAAACATGAAACACATGAATACACACACACACATATATATACACACACGTGTATGTGTTTCATGTGTGTGTATATATATACACATGTGTGTATATATATATATGTGTGTGTGTATATATATATATATATATATACTTAGTGCTCAAAATCTTGGCATAGTTCTCTCTTGCTCCGTAAAATACATTTGTTTTACTTCCCATCGCTCTGGGACTGACGTCTTATCTTTTCTGAACAAAGCACAGACTGGGAATGATTGCATACTTTGACTCTGATACTCTCAGCAGGCTTTTCTGGACCCTCCTGTCCCTTCCAGACACTTTGTCCTTTCCTCTCCTCCGCTCTGAGGCACTTTCCTTGTGCTGTCCACATCTGCACATGTAAGCAGACAGTATGAAGTCAGGGGGCCTACAGCTTCCCTATTGAGGGTATCACCTCCTCTACCAGACTTATTTTGGCATTGGGTAAAGAAACATAGAGCATTTTGCTCCTTTAAAGTGTCACCCCAGCTTGGAGAAACAGCACAGAAAAGTAGATCTTCCACCAGCTTGTTTTCTCCTCAAATGCCTGCCACAGCCAGGGCTGTTGTTATTACCAATCCTTGCCCTGTGTCCTAAGCAATAATCCTGATATGTTAAGTGTTCAATGCATTCAGCGTTGTTGTAATGCCATGCTGAATCCATTCTAGACTACATGGAGCCTAGAAGTGCAAGTGCTTAGAGTATCCTTGGACCTACAGATGTCAAAAAATCTGTGCCCCCATAATCTTCACACCTCTTGACCTACATGGTTCAGATCACCCCACCACGCCTCAGAACCCCATGCACTTCTTTCCCTTTTAATGCCAATAATATTTAATGCTATTGAATATTTTACTTTTAAAAATTCTATTCAACACTTGATGAGCATTTGGATTAACTCTAGTTTTATAAATGCTAATGAGTAAAAACTGCTATGCACATTTGTGTACACATCTTTCTGTAAACTTGTTTTCATTTCTCTTGAGTAGAATCCTAAGAGTGGATTTGCTGGGTCATATGATAAGCTTATAACTAATTTTAAGATCCCTTGAATTATTACCAAGTATATTCAAATATTTTCTTTTTTAAGATTTATTTATTTATTTGAAAGTCAGAATTATAGAGAGAGACACAGAGACCTTCCATCTGCTTGTTCATTCCCCAGATGACCTCAATAGCCAGGGCTGGGCCAGACAAAGCCAGAAGCCAGGAGCTTCTTCCAGGTCTCCCACAGGGGTGGCAGAGGCCTGAGAACTTGGGCCATCTTCCACTGCTTTTTCCAGGATATTAGCAGGGAGTTGGATCAGAAGTGGAGCAGCTGGGACACTAACTGGCAGCTATATGAGATGCTGTCATTGCAGCATTTACCTGCTATTGCATTTACCTTTTAAGTCACAATGCCAGCACTTCATTCATAACTTTTCCATTCCAGAATTCCCAGTTTCCCAGCTCAAGATGAGAAATTGGCAACTGAGAAAATAGGAATGGCCTTAGTTATCAAACAAAATGGAAAAAGGTCTGCCCACTGAGAAAGATTTTCTTTTTTAAATGAGCCTCTGGCCCCAGAAATGAA